ATCTTCCACTTTCCTAGATGTTCATTCATAACTATGAGCCAAGATTGGTATATCAGAATAATAAAAAGTTTATGTCAGCACACTTGGCTGTAAACAAATGGAAACTCAGTCAAAACATCAATCAAGCCGTAAACATGCGCAAAACAAGAGCTTAACTCTGCAGTCCCATAATACAAATGTGTGAAACGGGAAAGAGCTAGATCAGCGAAAAGTGATAATTTTTTTCATGAACTTCACTTAACTTGTTTGTTTGTTTACAGAAGGACTCCAAATAACTTCAACATTGATTATTTGGGATTATTTACTTACTTGTTTCATCGGAGTAGAACCTGCTTCTGTTTATCATAGTGCAGGTCGGAAAAAATATTCCACATGGATTGGGTGGGCATTGGACAGTAAAGTGGGAACTGTGAAGAAAAAAAAATACGTCTTCAAGCTAATTGGAGCTTTGATGGAAATGCTAAGATATAACTTTCGGTTCCCGGTTGAAAATGACGTCAAAAGCAGTAGTAACGCACGATTACTGGCGATCCCTTTCATATGTGCCTGCCTTTTACGACCAGCCACCAGCCTAAAACGGCTCGTGCTCGCTCGGTTCATTGGTGATTAGCGCTACTTGTTCCGTGAAATTGAAACCGCTTCAATAGAAATGTGCATGGATGAAAAACAGCTACATATCTGTGATTCTTAGAAGAAACGTGATGCAAAGGATGAAGTCTATAACGTTAAACAATCTCGTTTTTGGGATGTACCCATCATTCTACTTCTACTCAGAATATCACTGACGCTTTGAAGCGTGTGATTCCCATACAATGAGCTGTGGCGGTCAGCTTATGTACTTGAGTTTGTGTTTTTATCTTCCCAAAGTAGTCTGACACAAATAAATACACCCCGTAGGAAGAAGGGCTTCGCCTATGCGAATACCAACCCGGAATTCGAGCCCTCGACAATGCGTGTGTAATAGTACCCCATTTGATACTAAATTACCTTCTCCCAGAGGATATGTAATATGAAGGGAGGTAATCTTCAGGCAAAGTATAATCAGTTACAGAACAATGCCGCTGAATCTTTGAGAAATATCAGTCAAGCCTGTTAGAGCTAGGTAAGTACATAGATTTTGTAGAATTTTGTAATTTTACATAAACTCTCGATCAGCTTTTTTCCTCGTGCCCTGCTTCCCTCTTTTGAGTGCTGGAGCAGCCTACCAGGCCTTTCTATTTAACGTTGTTTTCATTTCGTCCATCTTTCACGAAAGAACTAATTATGGAGTCCAGAGGGTTTCACCCTGGGGATTTGTGAGAGAATGGGCCAATCGACGTGAGCGTACGGGGGCGCTTCAGCGCTTCCAAAACAAGTTCAGCAGCGTCAAGTAATCCAATTTGGATCCCCAGACGTTTAAGGAGAAAATGTAGCTGCAAACAAAAAAAAACTTCCAGCTGCGAACATTTCTGAGAAAATCAAATTTTTCTTTTCAGGTGGATACTGTAAACAGTTTGGACCTTTTCTTTCCCTTCTTTTCCTAGACTATAACCAACAATTGCGGCTAGAACATTCACCGTGCGATCGATACCTATGTAAATTACTGGGAGCAGATTCCACATCGCTGCTATGAGCATCAATTACCATTAGGCCGTTTTTCAAGTTAATCGAGAAAATCATAGACTAGGAGTTCCCAAGGAACAAGATGCATGGGGAATTTATTGTTTCCACCCATTTTCTGATAAACTTCTTCAGGTATTCTACTTCGCATCAGACTTGTACAAGTCGCGTGGAATCCATTTGAATCCTACAGTGGTCAGAAGACATAAGCAAGAAGTAGGCTTGGGCTAACATTTTGCTTGATAGGTATTTCTCTATTTTAATTTTCTAATTCGATGGAATCTTCCTCAAGGAGCTCCTCTCCCAACCCTTCTGATAGCACAAACGGCTTCTAGCCACGTTCATTAAATTATAGGATCCAATTTTTGAGAAACTTCGGGAAGATATTGTCATGCCATCAATTAGCTCTCGAAAAAGTCACATGAAGAAGAAAAACTGCCTACCTTATAGAGCAAAACTCGTAGACAGTTCGACAAGGGCATTCTTTCTTTACACACTGCTTCTTGCTTTTTGCGCATTGACAGCCTTGTTCTGGTTTCGTCACCTTGGCGACCTTCTTCGGCTGCTCCTGAAAGCTACCAAGATACAGGAAGAGAGAAGAGAGAGAAAGCAGCGTTCAGAAGGCCATAGATTAGATCCCAGAAGGCTGAAAAGAGAGTATGGCTCATAGAGCTCTTTCCAGTGGCTCTATATCCAGAGGTAGAAAAAAGTGATGGATTCACTGTCAAGCGACAGCCATTGTTGAAAAATAATTGCCATTCCGGGATGGGAAAACGATTGAGATTAATATTCATCCCGTAGAAAAAAAAACGAAAAAGAAGAAAATATGTAAGGAAAGTCAGAGCTAAAGCGAAGGTACTATATATTTTAATAGAGGAAGCGTTGTAAACAAATGAAGCAAAGGAAGCCCATGTGGATGATGAATTGGACCTTTCTTTGGCCATTAAGTAATAGAAATGAATGACAAATCAATAAGTTATAAGATTCATAATTAATCTGGTTAGATGGGAAAAATCAGCCAAAGTTCGAAGGACAACCTTCCAGTCCATCCATCTTGAAATTGTTGAAAGACAAGATACCCTCTTGGTTCGGATAATGGCTTATTAGTAGGACTGATGACCAAATCAGTAGGAGCGTAAAATCGTTAGGACCAATTGTCGAAATGAGGGACCAGGTGAGCTGGGATCCTCTGAAAGGGGGTTCTAGCGTACCTGGGCCCTGGGCCGAATATTCTTTATTCTTGCTCATGACAAGAAGGGATCTTGCAATTGAAATAATCGCTTTGAAGAGAGCTTCCTAATGTGGTAGTAGAAAGCACAAGTGAGATAGAAAAAAGGAAGAGCAGAAGGAAAGAAGAACATGAATGGAATTAATTACTCTCTAATGGACGTCGAAGCTTTACGAACTTGTACTTAAACAGAGAAAAAGCACGAGTAAGTGCATTTGTAATTAGCCAAGAAGAGAGAAAACAAGTGAAAATAGAAAGCTGGAATTATCGGAGAGACGTAAGAAAGTTTCAAAAAACGTTGGAAACACAAAACCAAGAGCAAATTGGCAATTAAGTAGAGTAAAGCAAAAAGCCTCGGAGGTTGAGGCAAGTCTTGCAGAGTACACATAATATCGATTTTGTATCGAAAGTAGAATCTGTGGCTCACTCCAATATGGTTTTTTGTATGATTTGATGAATACCATTTTTCTTATGGCTTCTATCTAATTCTTTAGTGCTGGCTAGCTTTCAAAGAGCCACTTCTTTTTTCCCTCTGTTTTGCCGGAACAGCTGATTGACAGCTGCGTCGGCAGTTGGCTATCTTTAATGGAATTCTGAAATATAATAGCCATTCCGCTACGACAAAAAAGGGGAGCGTTGGGGTGGTCCCCATCCAAAACATAAACAACCAACCATCACTCCTTCAGTTTAAATGATAGAATAAATTTTGAAAATTCGTCAAAAATTAAAAAACTGTGTAGCACTAAACCTGTTTACTAGGGTCAGGGTGCAACTATTCCATGAACACCAGCTCTTTTTTTTAGGATGGCTCAGGCTGTGTAGGAGATATAATGGTAAATGTATGGTACTCTATGCACCGGAAATGACGCATAAATACAGAACTGATTCACCAGACGAGAAACAGACGGAGGGAAATTGATGTCCTCACTTCGACGCAGTGTTTCCTCTACTTCAAACTAATAAGTCCATAATTCATCCAGAAACTTTTAACTTTATGGCTTTTCTAATGGCTTAAAACTGAGTATACTTACCTTGTTCTTGCAGATCTGCTTACAGGCACAGAGCTTAGTGCATCCCTCTTTGATTCGTAAGCAATCACAGCGTTCGGCTTTGGAACAGGCGTTTTTGGCAGGTTTGGCAGGGTCGACTTCACAGGAGCACTTACAAATGGCTTGATTCAGACAATCACCTCGATACCTGAAATCGATTAGGAAGTCATTCGACCCACAAAGCCTCGTTATGGACCCGCTTTTGTTCTCTCAGTGTTCAGCCATCTGTCGCACGCTAATGAAGGATCTTTGCGCCTCACTCGACAGCTTTCCATGGCCGTTGCCCGCCACCGCCTAGTCCCACCCCAGCCAGATCGACAGAGAGACAAACGATCTCTGCTGTAGAGGTTTCATTAGGCGGGGGATGGTTGCTGACATACATCATACTCGATAGATGATGCCGTCCATATCCCTTTGAATATGCAGCGTAGTAGGCGGCTATTGGAAAAGCTGCGAAAAATACCCTCGGGACCACTACCCTCCAGTCGACCCCTGCAATCGGGCTCACATTGCAATTCAGCAGGATTTGATGCCACATTTTGAAGGAGGGCTTAAATCGGAGCTTTTATTCAGTCGGGGAGGTATTGAAGGGCATCTTGGTACAATGCGCCGGTATGGCGTAGATCTTGCCAACATTCCCTAGATAAAGAAGAAGAAAAAACAGAAGAAAGAGTCAAAGGAAAGGAGATGAAGGCCCTTAGTATCGTCCTTATCGGTGGGTGACTCCTCGTTTGTTTTCTTGTTGTTTTTCCTTTCACTTGGTTCTTCTTCCTTGTACCCTAGACCTAGCAGGTGCTTAATCCTCGCCTAATCTGTCGTCATAAGTGGTCTCTTCGCACGCGCCTCCATCAGAACTGGGCTTCACGCTTCCTAGTTCTTCCTTCAAAGCTCCTTCTAGGAATGTCATCCCTAGTCTCTTCTCTAGACCCGCCTACGCTCAAAACTCCTAAAGCACATGTTATTGACTAGCTTCCAACTACAAAAAAGTCCTAATTCTCTTCTGAGGGCTCCTTCGGATTGGAAAAAGCTCTTGTCCTATTTTCTACTGCTCTCCTATAGTGCAGGACCGGACAAAGCGATTCATAGCAATTTCAAAAGTTGCGACCATTATATTTCTGAAAGGCAATTATTCGACTTTATGGCTTGGCTTTTCAGAGCTTTTCCCGAGGCGGTTTTTTCTTTTCTCGGTATTGCAAGAATGAATGTCTCAAAAGGATCTTGCAAAAATGGTCAATGGAAAGAAAATAAAAAGTAAAAAAAGGATTAAGAGAGTCGATCACCCCTAGAAAGTCATGAAATGAACTTAAAAAGCTCAAGCACTTCAAAGCAAGGAAAACGCCGTTTTTCAGAAGTGTTAGTTTCTTATAAAAGAAGTTCTTGTCTAAGTCAGTTTCTGGTAGACAAACGCGCGTCTGAACGGGGAAAATTTGTAATTCGAGAAGGTTTTCGCCTTCTTCCGTGGGCGGTTTTGGATTCCACATACTCGTCATGCACTTTCTCTTCTGGCCAACACAATTTCTATCAAAAGCTCTATGAAGTCTGCACGATTAGCCCTTGTAGTCCGTCGAGCTGAAGATTTCGCAGGCTGAAGGCCGCTTTGCTCTGACGAAAGCTGCGCATTACTGAGATTGAATGGGAATCAATATGTGGGAAAAGCAACACACACACTCTCACACAGTGAGGAGACCCCTAGCACCAACTCCGTTGAGCAACATCGATCTGGTCAGGTAAGGAGAAGGGGTCCGTGGGAACGCCATGCCTACTCGTAGTGAAAATCGGATTAAGCAAAAACGGAACGTCAAGAGACATAGACTCACCTGGTGCTTTCACAGTGCTCATCACAGGTTTTCCGTGCAGCTACACACGGACAGTTATCGGCACTGCAACGGCTTTGCGTGGCTGCACATTCGCAGCAGAAGCTGTTTATCCGGCTCATTTCACTGGCCATTTTTCCTCGGATGATCTGTTCGGGTTAACCACTTTCAGCTGTGACGTCGACCAGCACCAGCTAGTCAGAATACACAAACAGACCCAATTAGGAGGCTAGCGAAAATCGATGTTGGCACGTCGCCACCTGCTGTGGACGAGTCACAGAACGTAAGAAGGCCAGTTCCAAGAATTTTGAATAGTTCCAGCTTGAGGTACACCCACACTTTCAGGACAGAAGCAGTAACAAGATGGTCGACGAGGTGACGCGGCGATGGCAGTTGGGCGGGGATGGAAGGGAGTTGAAGCCGTCAGCGGCGGGCGCTGACGACGGAAGCTTTCGATCGGTGAGGGGCGTGCCGTCGTCTACGACTACGCCAGATGACCACCGGTCAATTGTGGTCCGTTCAGCTAATTGGCACGTCGCCAACACCACATTACTCACACCACAAGCGGGGATCCAATAGCGGTGCCTGCGGTCTGAATGATTTATTAATAGAATTCAGGATGTTTCCATGTGAATGGCTGGAAGGGCTGCAACAGCGAAGTTCGTAAAAGATAAGAATAATAAGGAAACGGTTCCGAAGGGGTTTAAAGAGGTCTATACTTCTATGAAATTCACTCAAAGGTAGTGATTCCGAAAGATCCTTTTTCAGTGTTCATCACTGCTGACAGAACGATAGTGGAGCGATTGCTACAGCTTTGAGAATTTGAGCTTCAAGAGGGAGAATAAATATCAGGTTATAGAATCAAGGCCTATGGCCGTGAGTAACAGGGTCTCAATAGACAGGTGTGTGGATGATAGGTCAGCAGTAAAGAAAGCTGTGAAGTTTCTATTATAAACTTCACATCGCTTTGAAGGGTTAAAGAAAGTCGGCTAGTTGGAGAAAGTCGAGGGTTAGCCACACTGAAAATTTTTCCCTACCAAATTTTACTTTCCACGCTTTCTTCGGTTTCCTCATCCCCCCCCCCCTCTACCCCCTCCTTGCTTCTTTTCTTCCTAATTCGACGAGTCGACTTCCTAACATTTGACCCATTTCATTGAGAGAAACGTCCACCCATGCCAAACTTTGCTATGGTGTCCTTCTTAGAGCCTCTATCTCTCCCCGATTCTATTGAACAACGAGATTCGAAAAAAAGTTTTAGTGAATTAGTTACAACTACCCGTGACGAAGGGCGTAAAAAGTTGGGTAATGGGGCCAAGGGAAGGGTTCCCTGCATGGTTCCACCTTTGAAAGATCTGAACGAAAAACTGGACCCTTCAGAATATGCTTTCAACATCAACTTTCCATGTGAATGCCTGGAAGCTGGAACGGATCCCATATAAATGCATTTAATGGAATGTCTAAGAGGTTCTGATGGGTTTTAGGGAATGTGGAAGCCTCTGCGGAAGGAATGCGTCATGCGTCGTTAAGCTTGCAATCAATTTGGTGCTAATCCTTTCGTAATGACTACAATTAGCCTTACAAGACCACTGAAGAGGGGGGTTTTTCGACTAATTCGATCTGGACTACGTCTAGAATTCTCTTATATTCATTCTTTACGATGCAATTTGGCATCATAGCCTATTTGTGAGACTTTTGAAGGAAAAGAACGGTTTTGCTACCTTACATTCAGTCGTACTTCTAGAAGGACTGCACAATACTCAACAACAACGATTTCTCACACAATATGGAACAATTTTTTCTTGTTCTAAGAGTTCATAGACTGACCTTGAATGGATATAAGGCACTGATAATTCGAGTGGAGCCGATGTCATCTTCCCCCTTCCCCGCACCTCTGCCCGTTCCCCTAACATGTCATGATGTTGGTGCAGGCTCCGAAAATTGAAGGACCTCAGCTGCTCATACCATTTTGAGCTTCTCTAGTGTTTAAGTAGAGGTTGCACACTCAAGAGATCATATTACCAGCAGCTAGTTTGCCCTACAGTAATCTAGGTATGAGTTTGGATCATCGGTGAATAACCTGCCTGCTGATGGCCGGCTGTAACTACGACCTTCTGCAGCAACGTCTTTCTTTGCACTAATGCAGTCGCCATTTGGAACATTCTGGAATACCTTCAAGCTGGTAGTTCGTGACCGCCTGGGTCCCAACGAATCGTTTTAGCTGGACAAGTTTGAGCCATTAAGTTGTCGTTAGTCCGTACACATTAAATATCAATTTCCAGAAAGTTCCAAACGATGTATTACCTGAATTAACAACACTGGGAACTCTGAGAAATCATATTACTAGGCCGAGGGGGTACCGTCGGGTTACATTTAGAAGTATCATACTCTTAATATGACGAACAAACGACACTCCACAGACTGACATGAAGTGCTGATAGAGAATCTCTGAAAAGGTCTAACAAGATCAGCACAAATCAACTTAACCCAGTGAGTTCGAAAGCTAGATTGAATTGTACTTTGGGGCCTAATCAAGGAGCTAACAGTTTTTTGTTGATTTTATGCCCGGTGGTGGGTTCTTTTTATGCCCCTCGAATGCTTCATCTAGCCGATGAGTGAAGCCCAACTGGAAGGTTAGGGTCAGCATGCGCTTTCTCTCGCTGACTTTCAACTTTCTTGCCGACTGGGAAAGGCGTACATCGATAAAGGCTCTCATGAATCTTGTCTAGCTCAGTGGACGAGTTCAGTCCCTCTACAACCCACTGGCTGGTTGAGCGCGTAGTGTCTGTACTGTTATTGTGTACCTTCTATCGTCCTTGTCATTGGGTGTTCAAGTAAACACCGTGGCTAGTCGCCATAGTTGAAAGCAAGCGTTTCCACTTCTTTCTGACACTATGTCTACTGTAAACCCCGCTCGCTATAAATAGTTAACCAGTTAGAAATTGGGACAATATGTGCAGCCGCTGACTCTCCTCCTTCTCGGCCTTCTCGGAGCTCTAAGGTACTTATTCAAGCTACATATGCATATACTCCGGATAGCATTCGTTGAGCACGAGGCAGTAGGTGAAATGAGTTCCTCTTTCCTCGAAAAAAGAGAATTATCTTCTTATTTGATTGCTTCTCGTCTGCCCAGACATAATGAACTTATATGCATTGATACTCGAATTAAGGCGTTTTTTTCTGAGCAAATGTCAGAAAAGGTATTTAAGGCATTCACTGAAATGAAAGTACACAGCGCAAAAACTCTGGCTATGCCGGGAAGCAAACCCACGCTCTCCACCTACGGAGATACCGTGCTGAAACGAATTTGAGTACAAAACTATGAGCGTGTATTCCCGCCTGAAAATACAATCGTGCAAATTTTGATGGCGCTTTTTGGGAAAGCTATTTTGCAGATTTTTTGCATATTCTTACCAGCATTCCATTATCTACAGGTTTACCTGTGTGTCTCCATTCAATCTCCATTGGTGAGTAAATTGCCATTAAGGGTAAGCAATCAATGGGATAGTCAAAAGTAAAGCTCAAAACGAAGTAAAGTTAGGTAATTTAGTTCTCTTGAAGTAAGAGACCAAATTATCCGGGAGATGCAACAGCTCAGGGTTGATAATGCGAAGTTCCATTACTGAATGGCCAACTTATCAATATCTGGTCACCCCATTGGTGCATGCCGATCATGTATGTCACGTCAATGTGTTCGACATGATGTTCGATCAGTCCTCAGAAATCCAGCTTGTTTAACTTTGTGCAGCTAATTAAGATGGCATTTAGCCATGGCAATGGTAATGGCAATTCCATTCCAGGCAGGAAGTACATGTAATATCAAGGACATCATGAGAACTCTGATTGTCTATTACCTTTTGTAAATTTCTCCCTACTTTTACTGTATGTGGGACTTATCCTTATCTCTCTATCGTATCTGCCTTTCCTTATTCTTTACCCGTTGGAAGTTTTTTCTTTCGTTGTTCCTAATATTCTTGCAAGGTTTTTTCAGATTAAAAAGCCGTTCGAATTTTTCTAAAGAAATCAAGTTAGAAGTAAGGTCATAGCCTGAACTGCTGTCTATGACCCCCTTTTTTGATTTGAATTAGCCTTAGCTTTCACAGATACAAATACAAAAACTAAAACGCCTTTTAGTTTTTGTATTTTCGAGGGAGGAAATTACTACCCAGCAGGCTTATGGTGAGGCTATGCTTCATGAGCCCACGCTTTACTTGAATGGGCAATTGTATTGAAATCTCGTCACCTGACCGTACTTTTTTTGTTACACAGTTAGCCGAAATCCTTGTGCACACTGAACAGACTATCACTCAACCCTCGAAGATAGCAAATGCAGGATGAGATGGGGGGAGGTGGGGAACATGATAGAGTTTACAATTTTTTCCGCCATTGTTCATTTGTCGTCGTGAAATATTTAATAGCCTGAAAAAAGCCAGGACTGAAAGAAAGGTAGGGCGGGAAGAGTGAGAAGTGAAAAAGTGAGTTGATGAACAGCCCCTTAGGTTTCTCATAAACGTTCCTTACTTGGAAATGTTCGCCCAGTTGCATTAAGCACGAGTTCATAGCGTTCCCTGAAGTGCAGCATCGCGTGACATTTCAACTGGCCTTCATTTTCTAGAAATTCATCGGCCCACCCCTCTACAACAAACGATACCAGAGCTGCACCCGAAGGAAGACGTATGGGAAAATTCCAGTAAAATTTGGGAAAGATTTTTAAAGTGCCTCGAGTCTTAATTGTCTGAATAGTTTATTGAGTAATTCAGTGATAGCATAACTGGATCACTGGAATGTGTAGAGACAGGCAACAGACAGAACGTCCTCCGCTTCTCCCTTTGTGATGACACCATTGCATCCATACAGAATAGGTGGGAGAACTTCCTTAAAATGACTATTTCTAACAAATGCAATAATAAAAAGTGAGGAGCTGCAAGGAGAATTCTCTGAACGACGGAGTAGGGATGTCTGGGAAGAGAAATCTTGGCATGAATTCACTAGGTTGTCTTATACTTTGTGACTCACCTCCTTTTTCTGTTCCAGTAATTTTGAAACCATTGTAAATACTCTGTACCACAATGGCTTAGGGTCCGTCTTCTTGAAAGACCTGAACACACAAGATACTCCAGAAGTTAAATGAAATTGGTAAATTGAGCTTTTACGAACTCTTTATCAGTGGTAATCAAGTCAGCCTTCACACTATCTGGAGATTTGAGGTACTGTAGTGCCTTTTCCGACAAGTCATCTCTCCATCCTTTCTCCTGTATGCCAGCTGTTATTCGTAGATTCACGCTGTCATCAAAACCCATCAAAAAACATACCATCCTGTCGTGAAAGAGTAGGTGGGCAGTCTTGGTGGCTCCTACTGCGTATTTTGGCAGGGGCTCGGAATCTGGAATGTAGCAGTAGGAGCCTTAGGAAACACGATGTAGGGATCCCCACATGGTAGGCAATGCATGCCTCAACAACAGCTAAAAAATTACCTTCAGCGAAAACATTCCCTAGGAAGTAAGCCAGAACTGCAACGAAGAACAACATTTTGGATGTTGCAAATTCTTCTCTTCACCCCCTATATGGAGGGCGGTGAAGAACATCGCCTGCACTTGTTTGTAGAAAATCTGTAATATGTTGTCATAGCCGCCGTTCAAAAAATGCTCCGCTTTCGCAACTGGCGTTGCCATCGCCCTTTCTTCCGCCATGGAAAAAACATCAGCCCACGTAAATTGCCTCAGCAGAAAAATTCAATTCACCGTGTTGCGAGAAAAAGTAAAATAATTATCTTTTTCAATTACTCGCCATAGGCAATCTACGTGAACTGGGGATTTTTTCATGGATGAAACAACGGTGACAGCAACGAGAAATGCATTCAGGGGCCTGAATCCCAATCCTGCCATCGTCAGAAACTGTTGAGAACGAGTCAATTACTTGGAAGGAGTATTATTTATTTATATATTTAGCAATACGTTTTATAGGACAACGTTAGAAACAACTCACCAAATACAATATCAGCAACTCTGGAGACTGAAATAATGAAAAGATGGGTAAAATTGATCCATAAAAGACCGAGAAGAACGATTTCCTTTGCTTTATCACCTTCTCAGCTCCGTGATATGAGTGCAGCCTCAGCTTTTCAGGCTATGGTCTCCTGCTAACAAGTCCTCAACACTTAATCATTCTAAAAAATGTAGATGATCTTTGCTGCTGAAGCAGGATGCTCGGGCTGCGATATTCCCACGACAAACAGAAAGTGGAAAAGCAGGTCTCTTTGGACAGCGGTTATAAAAACATTTTGTATTTTTGTATGAGCAAATACAACCGGTCTTCATTGCCATCATCAGCACTAAAGATTTGACGAAACTTTAGCTCACTTTCTTTTCATCTCGGAAAAAAGTTTTTTCCTTCCAGCTTCAGCCCAAAGTAGGGAAGGGAACTGTTTCGGGTCATGAAAGTGTCTCAATAAATAGATTTTTCAATCCGATTGAACTCGGATTTTGGAAGAAAAATTACCGAAGTTCTTGAAAATTCCCAGTAACATGAAGATCTCTCAGCGGAAAAACTTTTTGGAAACCGTTGCACTCTATCGTTATTACTTCTGGACACTTAGTTTGGGTCCTATGTTAAGATTCCTTCCAAGTTCCAGGGAAGAAGATAGAACGACTTTTTACGGTAAAAATTTCCACTATTTTTTGCGTCTTTTCATTTACTTTTACCCTGTATTATTATTTTACCATTACCGGTTGGCAATGTTTATTAAGCGATTAATCAACAATAAGCAACAATAGTATATACAGAATACGAATGGTACAGTTTTTTGAACTTGGAAGTTCATGCGAATTCGCTGCTTCAGACAGTTGGCTGCGCAGCTAGATAAAGAAGTGCTTCATTGACTGAACGGCGTAGAATAAACTCGGGTATTGAGGTCCGCAAAATCTCGTCGTTCTTGATTACGTCAAGGACAGTATCTAAGAGAGTTTAGAGATAAAATCTTCGCCGAAATGTCGAAAAATACTAAGCTAACAGTCTGTTAGTAAAGGAATATCCTACCGTTCAATCCACAAAACTGCAAAGCCACATTGCTTTTCTTCGCATCATTGTATACCTGAAACGAATGCGAACCTAAAGTCACTATCAACAAGAGGCTTTAAACTTCGTAAGTGTTATACCTCTCTGAGTGCGTCCAGACCCATACTATCCACATATGCCATAGCCGTGCAATCGACAATAATCGCCCGTCCATTCAGCAATGACTACAAATCTTTCAATTAGGCAAACTTAGCCGGGTTATACATGATTCCAACTACTTACTGAGTATAACACAATCAAAGCCCACCTCATCTTTCACGGATGCTATTAGCTGTGAGATCTTATCCGTGAACAGTGTGACATTTGCAAAATGTAATGGGGATTCGAATTTCAGTACACTAACTCCCTCAGGAACATGCTGTGGTGGGATCGTGTCCACAGGAGCTGCAGCAAAACGAGGCCTAGAACATTTTCAGATAATTGATGAAAGAGACTGGTATAGTGAAGGAGCAGAAGTTCCTTGGGCAGTTCATAGAATCAGATACCGTCTAAGCCGTCACTCACGACCCCTCTGGAACCACCCAAATGTATCGGATATTCGTAGATGGAAAGAACTCATCCGTTATCAACTGATTCCTTAATCACAGTTCCGACAGTGCCTTAGGAGCGTGAGTAAGAGGTTGGTAGAAAGGGATCGCCTATGCCACGTATCCATACTATCCTTCTGATAGTATCGGACTGGGTTGAGCTCTTACTGGAGACAGTTCAGAAAGACTCACCACTGCTCTCTGAGGACAACGGTGAACAACGCAAAAGTCAGCGATATGACGAGACCTTTTGTCACGTCGGTTATTATGGTCGTCACACATGCTGTCAGCCAAATTGCCTGAATAAATAGGTATCATTAGGTATCACCAGGGAAGTGAGCAAGTAGATAAATGAAAAAAGAATGTCTCTTACAAAGAATGCCACTCACAAAATCGTATTTGCTGATCCGCCAGTATCGAGGTAGTTCTTTGACTTGAAGGAAGAGACTTTTCAGGCTTACAATAACTATACAGGCCAGAATACACTGAAACACTTCATTTTTGTGGAATTTTGTGAAATTTTTCGAACCTTTCTTTTGTGAAAGAATAAAACATGTCTAAACGCTATGAAAGTGAAACTTGAGCAGAATTTCCCAACAAGCTAACCATGGGTAGTGGTTCCAAGAATGGGCCTAAGCTAAGAATCACAGTAAGTAGAAGCGTTGACGAGAACATGGTATAGAGCTGAAATTATAATTTTAGTGGTTTTCTTTGAGTGTCCATTTACCTAATGAAATCTCCAGTCACAGGAAATCAATATCAGTCGATAGACTCACCTGAGTATTTGCTCCAGACATTTCACAAACTGATGATCTGCTAAGTGAGGCTCCTACAGGATATACAGGAAAGAATGACGAAGCAACAGACATTATTCCAACAGCATAGAATTCCTTGAAAAAAAATCTCTTCGAGAGGGAATTCTGACCTACAGCCTCATACTACATTTCACACCCGCTGTATTACTAGTATCATCGCCAGTGAGCCAGGAAGTATTGGTGCCATAGCTGGGCTGAGCCGTGCCCATAACTAATTGACGCCAATTCTCGCCAATTTAGCGTAGCCGCTTCAGGTTTTCAACTTTTGCAATGATACAGCCACTTGGGAGTAAAATCATTACTTGTCGTACTGTTTTACCTGAGTAGCATCCGTCCTGTACTTATGTTTCTTTGCAAACAGCTTTCCCATCGACATTACAAACATGTAGCAGACTACGGCAATAGGGATTGCATCAGAGATCAGATAAGGCACCAGAGAGGTGTTTGGCAACGACGGCACGGGGAATCTGAATTTTAGATAATGATTTTGAAGATAAAGTTAT